ATGTACCACTTTGAAATTTAAACAAACAATAATCACCATGATTAAAATTCAAAAAAGTAAGAAGCTTCCTTATCATAATTAAACGAAAAAATCAGAAACAGTTTTAGTGCACAAAACAACCCAAACGGCAAATTATGTCACGAAAAAATTAATTGTTTTTATTATTTTTAACCAATTTTTAAACCGCTTTCCAAGTCCTTACTTTTTTAAATAAGGCTGTTTAAACAAAAAAAAATTAAACGACGAATTCAAAAACAGTTTTAATGCACACAACAAGCCAACGGTAAATTATGCAATACAAAAATTAGTTGTTTTTATTATTTTTAACCAATTTTCAAACCACTTTCAAAGTCCCTATCTTTTTTTAAATAAGGCTGTTTAAACAAAAAAAAAATTAACGATTAATTAAAGTCAAAAACAGTTTTGTGTACAAAGGAAGCCAAACGGCAAATAATGCAACAAAAAAGTCAATTTTTTTATTATTTTTTACAAATTTTTAAACCGCTTTCCAAGTCCTTTTTTTTAAACAAGGCTGTTTAAACAAAAAAAAAAATTAAACGTCAAAATCAAAAACAGTTTTTGTGCACAAAACAAGCCAAACGGCAAATTATGTCACAAAAACATTAATTGTTTTTATTATTTTTGATAAATTTTTAAGCCGCTTTCCAACTCCCTAATTTTTTTATTAATGAGGCTGTTTAAACAAAACCAAAAATAGGGACTTGGAAGGCGGTTTGAAAATTTGTTAAAAATAATAAATACAATTAATTTTTTCGTGACATAATTTGCCGTGTGGCTTGTTTTGTGCACTAAAACTGTTTTTGATTTTTTCTTTTAAGTGTGATAAGGAAGCTTCTTAATTTTTTGAATTTTAATCATGGTGATTATGGTTTGTGTAAATTTCAAAGTGGTAAATAAAGCAACCGGTTGTGCTTTTTTTATTTTATTATTATTTTTTCTTCTAAAAATTATTGAACATTGAAAAAAAAATTGCAAAGAAATTTTTTTTTAATTTAAACAATTTTTTTTTTCAAAAGTAAAAAGGCAAATTTGTACATAAAGCCTAGTCTTTTGTCTTTGAGTTTGGAGGGGTGCTTCGCTAACTTTATATAAAGTCTAAAGTAAATACAAGAGCGACAAAATTTTTTTCCACAACTAACTAACGGCAAAAAACGGCAAATTCATGGGTCTATGCGACATTTCTTTCTTCATGTTGTTTCGCAAACTTTATACACATCTCTTTTCGGACTCGGCCTTGCCCACCCCTGTCATATTATTTTCTCTTGTGCTTTTTTTTTTGAGGGGTAGATTTCGGTTTCGATTATACAGGATTATAGTTTATAGTCAATAAATAATTTTAACGTCGTTTATGCGAAAAGCAAGGCGGACGCATGTCTTTTGTCATCCATTGATACTTACATATGTATGTGGGGTGGTCCAAAACAGTAAGGTCGGAATTGTAATGCTCTCGCCCCCTAGGATTATTCTATATCGAAAAAAGTATACCCCTATTTTTTTTTTAAATCAAAAAAATATTTAGAGGTCGCTCAAAGTTTTCCATATATTTTTATATGGGTAAAAAACAACTTTTCGTAGAAATGGTATAGGATTCTTAAAAATCAATATTTTTCGATTGGAAAACTCTGGTTATCTTCAGGAGACTTTCAATAATAATACCCAATTATTTATTTAAAAAATTTTTAATGCTAACCATTTTTTATTACTCCCCGTTTTGCCTTTTTTCGGGGTTTTTGGCGGACCTATAAATTATAGTTGCGAGAAAAAATGGTTAAGTAAACACTCGGTTATTATTATAGGGAATCTTCTGCAGATAAACAGGGTATTCGAGTAGAAAAATATTGATTTTTAAGAATTATGTACCATTTCTACGAAAAATGGTTTCTTCCCCATATTAAATACATGGGAAACTTTGGGCTCTTTGAGCGACCTCTAAATATTTTTTGATTTCAAAATAAAAAAGAGGGGTATATTTTTGTCGGTATAGAACAATCCTAGGGGGTGAGAGCATAAAAATTCCGACTTTACTTTTTCCACATGCAATTTTAGACCACCCTAATGTACACATGTATTTATTTGCGTGTAAATGGCTATTCATTTTCGCCTTTTTCTAAATGATTTATTTTTATTAGTTACACAAGTTAACTTTTCATAAACCAAACCCCTTGCGAGAAAAATTGTTTATTGGTATATCTCATTAAAACACATTTTTCTCAATTACTGCGATTTGCACAAATGTTTAACAGTTGATTACCTATACATATACACTAGGGTGGTTAAAAGCTTTCTTTTCAGCCACCCCCGAACTGAAGAATACCGAAAATAGGGAGACCTGATTTTATTTATTTTGAAATTTAACATACATATTTTATGTGGGAAAAATATAGTTTTTCGTAGAATTGATATAGAATCGTAAAAAATATATATATATATGTTTTTAACGAATAATAATATTGCCGTTCAGAAATCTCAAACAAATTTAATTATGATTAATATTTAACCTCGATTTGAGTGCAGTAGCTTTGGTAGTTGGTAGTTACTGATTTATCGAAGATTTCGTATTTCTGTCAATTACCGTTATATGGGAAGTGGGCGTAGTTATTGGCCCATGTAAAAAAAATATTTAACAGATTTCTTACCGAGACTCTAGGTAATGTTCGTGTCGAGTTTGGTCGGGATTGGTAAAGTTACAGAATTTCATCAAAAGTGGGCGGTTACCATATTTTTGAAGTGTAAATAAAGGACAAACTTTTATATCCATTCTTTATTATTTTATTAAATTCAATAACTATATACACATTAAACCGTATCACTTTATCCCTTTTAGTAGTTTTCTGAGTGCTGAGAATTTATGAGTCTAAAATGAGTCTTTCTTTCGTCATAAATATGATTTTAAGATCAGTCAACCAGACTGACTCATATTTTTTTTGTTTTGAAGTTGAAGAAAAGTAACAAAGTTCAAGTAGAAGTAAAAATTTATTAATAATTAAAATTAAAAAGAATATTTGTTTTCAAGGCTCAGAAAGCGTCATATTTCAGACTCTAAGATGACTCCTAAATTGGGCTCATTTTGGCGTGCCCTTCTAAGAAGGGAAATATCGCTAGCTTAGAGTGAAAAGTTGCTAACTCTTCTTTTTACGAAAACTCATATTTTGATACAGGAGGCTAGAGAAATTGAAAATGCATCGTTTCGAAAAGGATAAAGGTGCTTGCTTTATATTCTCTCATTTATATTCAATGAAAGGAAAATTTGCTAAGTCCACAAGAAGCTACGAAAATTCGATAAGGCCAAAAAAAGAATCTTTTAATAAAGATCGAATCACTCTGATTCGTATGGAGCGTTGCTTTGCTTTAAATATGCAAAATGTTGTATTTAAAGTTTTGCGAAGTACTTGAAGAAAATGACTATAAGAGGTTTTTTCTTCTTCTGTAAAAATTTTAAATTGGAACTCAGCAAACCTCAAAAAAATGCGGGGGCGACAAAACAAGTCGTCACTTTTAAAAATGGTTAAATAAACAATTACTATTCAATATTTTTTTATTAAAAAATAAAAAACCAGGGTATAATTTTTTCGGTATGGAACAGTCCTTGTGACTGAGAGCATTTCTGGACCACCCTAGTGTACATATACATATCGTCGTTTAAGGTACAAAACCGCGTATCGTCATTCTGCAAAACCGCGTAACTGACGTTTGCTGCCAAAAATTGGATTTGCTCACACAAGCTCTTGGCTCAATCCTTATCCATTCGTCCTGAAATATACTAGCCAGAAATGTGATTGCGTTATAAAAAAAGAGAACTATTTTGAAATTTGAGTGGTTTTAATAATAACAATAATAGATTGGCGCTTAAACATATATTAGTGTTTGGCCGTGCTTCTCCTCCAATTTGTGGCGTGCGTTTTGATGTTGTCACACAAAGAGGAGGGACCTACAGTTGTATGCCGACTCCGAACGGCGAGTGTATTTTAATGAGTGTTTTTACTCTCTATAAAATAATTTATGCAACCTCTCATACGCAGTTTTGCATTTTGCTGATACGCGGTTTTGTACTTTAAACGACGATATGTATTTTTACTTACAATTGTACAACGCAGCTATTGTTTTTCCTCTATGAAGCACGTAGCACTTGTTGCGGAATATGCACATATTGCAGTAACTTGCTGATGACGGAAACTAACAAAAAATAATATACATACATACATATGTATGTATGTAAGTACAATAGTAATTGGTAAGGCTATTATATTGGTATAATTGGTAAGGCGTTTATACCATCTTTTTTTATTGTAATGTTCTTACTTTGTATAACATTTTATTTGGCAGTCGTGCCTACGATGTTTAAGTGCCTTGAATAAAACGTTCAAAAGAACATCTGAAGTTTCTAAATTGCGAAATTTATATATCTGTTTTTAATGGGAATAAAAAGTCTAAAAATTTTCATCGAACCTTGTTCTGGGGCGAGAGCCTTCTAACGGCGCTCGAGTACGCATTGAACTCTGAACTTTCCACTTTTAACTAAAAATTCTTAGGAAGGCCAACCGAGTCCACAAAATAGTTCTGGTCTTATAAAAACAATTGATAATCCTACATTCGACACCCTGCCTTTAATTCTCGAATCAATTGCATGACACCGATCACTGTTTTAACGCATTTTTTTGTAGCCTAAAGTTAAAGAGTGTCTATTCACACCTTAACACGCTTGTAGTTCATCTTCCTATTAGAGAGAGTCTAGATATAGGGATGTCAGATTATTTTCGTTTTTTGAGAAATTCCATTTTCTATGTAGTAATTTGCAGTATACTTACTTACTTACTTTTCGTGAGGCACCCTAATATTCATATCGCTTGACCTAACTTTGGAAACCTCTGCGTCCTGATCTATTTATGTACATGAATACTCGCTCTTATGGCTTCGTCCACAAAAGTCATTCATCACTTTTCTTAATACACGCACTGCTACATAGTTCTTTTTCGACAGCCTGTGGAATATTTTAACTTTTCTTTTTTTCCTGTTTTTAGTATTCGCCTATAAATATCAATGAATAATGGAAAAGTCAACAACATACGACATCAATAGCCATGTCTATCGAGAGACCACATTACCCAACACCGACGTCAAACACAATAATATCGAAAATAACAGTAAAAATCCGACAAAAACCACGTCACAGACGAAGCCAAAGAAAGTGCGGCGTGACAAAAGTGATTTGGGTGAGAATTTCAAAGCGCCAGATGGTGGCTGGGCTTGGCTGGTGTGCATAGCTGCGGGTTGTTCGAACGTGAGTAGTGGCATAAATTGTGTCTTAATTACATATTTACATTATATTTTTCCTAATATTTCAGCTATCGATCTATCCATGCTTGCAGCAGTTTGGTTTTATATTCCGTGAACGTTTGGCCATTTTAGGTCTAACCAGTTCGGAAATTACGACAATCATTAACACAAATCCAGCGGTGTCGGCATGTACAGGTAATAAGTAGCTACTACATATATTTCGGAAATATTACCTCTAATATTATTTCAAATAAAATTCCCTTTAATTTTTTACACACTTTATTGTAGTGAGAAAAATCGGAGTCATAGTTTCCCGTTGTTAAAGAGCGCTATGAGAAAACACATTCCCTTAATCGAAAAAAGAGTTCCAAAACAAATTAGGTCGGTCTACAGACTAATTTTCACTATGTCATATTTTAACGCCAAAATTTGTTGACATATGTATTTTAACACAACTTTATCTCCTTTACCCATACCCTAACCGATTAAATTATGGGCCAAAAACAGACAGATAACCGATATAGCAGCGCCTGTACACGACTAAAGATCTATCCTGATCGAAATCAATCGATATACCGATTTTTAATCTCATTTGATAATGTGTTTTCACTTACATATTTGACGATAAATGCCATTGAATTTGATATAGTGAAAACAAGCCTTAAGAGTTCCACCTCCGCTGTTTCAGACGGGTGAAGAAGCGTGATCCGAGGTGTTGGAGTCGCCTTAACTGCAGGTCTAGACATCGCCTTAGATAGTATTCATTTGCTTACTCCTAATTCCCAATGCGGTGTTTTCTTCAAAGGTAACTACATATACGTGATCATTGAACTATCAGATCTGGAATTTTTCGGATGGTCTTCCGTCTATTTTTCATTTAATCGCGACCATGAAGCTATTCTGGCCTCACAATCATCTCGTCTGGTCCATATGTCATATACAGCGGCTATAATGTATTCACCAATTTTTCAAATATGATCGCTAAGCGTGCATATTAGAGTGACCTGAAATTCAAATGTTTTTAGAATTTTCACTGTTAATAGTAAAAATATTGTTATTATGCTATAAAACAATCGATGCGAAAAATTAACATTTTGGGTCTATATCTTAGGCTCGCCCAAGTTAATGAAAGTATAAAGTGTTCAAAAAATTTCGCTTACTTCAATTGCAAATTTAATTCTCTAAAAAACGTTACTTATACAAAATTATGCAGGGCTAACAGTTTCAATTGAAGTTGCAATTTTAGTAAAAAATTTAAATTTTTGTACGTTAATACATATAATATTTATGGGTAAAAATATCGATAAGTCGCACATTTTACAGGAATTTCAATTTCGTACCAAAAGGTAGCTTTATGAAATTATTCGCGATTAAGTTTCTGAGATAATTGCGATTTTTATTAGAAAGTCGCTGTTTCTATCCCTGAACGAAATATTTATGTGTGAAAAATAATTAATAAATTACTAATTATATATCGAATTCAAAGTATCAGGAAAAAGTAATTTGTTTTTGGAAAAAAAATATTTACAAAATTTTTTTTTTATTAAATTTTTGGTAAAATAAAATTTCAAGTCTTATTATTTAAACCCTAATTTGTTAGCTATGACTGCAGAGTTGTAAAAAGGTATTAATTAAATTTGCGATCGAAGTAAATTAAGAAAAGAATTGTTTCAACACTGAACCTGAGCCTTGGACGAGCCTAAGAATTTTTTAGAGCGAAACAAACATGGTTTTCTAAATAAAAAGGCAAAAAAAAAAACGGATTTTCGGTCCACCCTAGTGTAAATCGGAAGTTTTTTATTTTATTAATCATACCTGGACATCTCCTCAGCTGTCTCAGCAAAGAGTGAGGTTGTGACATGAAACTCGATTTCTCCCTTTTCTTTAGCATGAATTTCAGCTTTCAACACGCTGCAGTCGTTTGGTTGACAAAAAGACTGACTGAATCAGCAGTCCTATGAGTTAAAATCGGCGCTGATTCTTTACTCCAACATTTAAACATCTGTGTCCCATTCTAGTATAGCGAATAATTTGAGCGTTGAGTTTTTAAGTTTTCGCTGCTTTGAACCCATAAATTAGGGTCTTAAAATAAATTCGACATACAAAATTACGAAATATTTTCATACAGTTAACTCTCTTATTGTTTCCAGGTCTCTTAAATGGACCTATGTTTCGACGCTTTACATTTCGTCAAGTTGCCTTGGCGGGTTCGCTTTTTATTTTTGTCGGTCTAATGCTTACAGCCTTCTGTGAGTCCTTCATCGGCTACATGGCAACCTATGCGATTCTTTTTGGTAAGTCCATCGCATCATCTCACACGTATAGCTTTTAAACCTACATACATACAACTAATACACGGCTTTCTCCAC